TAGTCCTGAATAACATCAGTTGAACGTTCAGAACATGCTAAGAAGCCAACACACCTCAGGAGTCTCCAGAAGATCCTCCATGAAGCAACCGAAACCGGACAGGTTGGTAGTGACGTTAGGAATACCCATGACAGTACACTCCGCGGGGGTGTAACCGAAGGGCTCGTCTGAGGAAGGTCGTGAGCTATGGATCAGTGACTCGAGTATCGTGACTTACAGTACGAGGGGAAGACACCCAAGTGACATCCTCGAACGAACTCCTCGTAATCAAGGCCCAGAATAGGGTTGTTCGAGTTGAGGAACTCGGGGTGGAAGATGACCTTGACCCGATCTGAAGACTGGTTGAACAGGTTGACTCGTCGGATCTGGTTGAGAATAGGGTCGCTGCCGTCGTCGGCCATGTTGTGGGTGACGACAGGAGGAAGGGAGTTCCGCTTGAGTGCGAATACTCGTCGCTTGAGAAGCGTCTTGTCTTCGCTGGACAAGAGGTCCTCGGCATTCGGCAGCTCGGTTCCGTGCTCACTAGCGTTCGTGTCAGCCCAAGTCATTAGTGCAACGTGCGAGGTAACCTACCCGGAGTACCTTGCGGCATGCTCAAAGATTCGCTTGCCAATCCTGGCAGTCACCTGGTTGACACATTCCTTGAGCTGCTGAGTAACAGCCTGGCCCTTCAGTGCCTCGATGGTGTACGAGTTGGTAGCCGCGGGCATAATGATGAAAGCGACAACAGTGGTCTTAGATCCCATCTTTTGCAATCGATGGTTCAGTCCTAAGCGTTGCAAATTCAGCTCTCCGCTGCGGCTCAGGCTGAGCTGACGGACTCACGAGCGAGAGACTCGATAAACATGTCAACACCCTTGTTCCTGAACTCGTATCGACCGGCGGTGAACATGTATATAGTGTTCTCCAGGTCGAAGTCGTAATGTCCGTAGAAGTGACCCCGGATAAAGTCGTTGATCTTCTCCTTGGACTGGACGTGCAGATTCTGGAACTCGTGCATGGCGGCAAACTTCTTTACATTGAGACCGTTGGGCAGCACACCGTCTGCGCTGAGTGTCAGCCATGCAGCTCGCTCCCAGATCATAGAACGTACCCGGCTTTCGCTTGAGGAGATGTTCACTCTCAAACGCGGTGATATGACTGACGGTAGTGAAAACGTCGGCGCAGTGCGCTGCTGATCGCTCAATGCAGTACCTGTCATCTTGGATCAGCCTTGAAGGTAGCCTTTCAGCTCTTCTGACAAATCGACGAACCTGTGGTAAATGCCTCGCTTGCCCGCCTCGTGATCTACATCGAAGTATTGCAGGTTGTTGTAAAAGTCGACGCTACCAGCACAAAGGTATCGACCGAGCAGGGTCGCATGGGTCGTGAAGATGGTGGTGACGTCGATGTGTCTCTTCCTACACAGAGGGATAGCCAGACCAGCCTGCCATTCGTGGAAGTGGGCGATGATAGCTCGGTCGGTCTCTCGAGCGGTGAACTCGCCCAGGAACCAAGCAACCATGTAACCGAATACAATGGTCTCGTTGGTCTCGTGGTCGTTAGGAGGGGAGGGAATACCGGCAAGGTTCCAAAGATCGGTCTTCCATTCATCCATTCTGCGGAATGCCCTTCAACGACGGTCCCAGTGGTATAATCCGCCTATACGCACCGGTCATAGCAAGAGCCAGTGTCAAAGAGCAGGACCCTGGGAGCGCCCTCGATCAACCACCGACCGTAGATGAGCTTGACACCCCGCTCCTGCATGGACTGGAGAGTAAGAGCGAAGGCGGATCCTGGCTCACTGTGAAGGAGGAGGGGTCAACTGGGTCCGCGTCGAACCAATACAGCCAGGAGAGAGCACTCACGGTTCCTCAGACTCTACCTCCATGGGTGCCGACTTGTACGAGAGGGGACCAATCAGACAAGCCCTACATCATCACACTGGTAAGCTGTTGCGCAATCTGCGGCGTGTAGCTAACTCACCTGTCTCCATACTCTCGTACAGTGACGGGGACCTTGGTCTTGATAACGGTGTAGATACCTCCGACCTTGTTGGCAACCTCCCAGGCGCACTCAAAGAGCAAGGGGGAATGTACGGATCGAACCATTGTCAAGGAACGGGTGGGATCAAGGGGTTTGTAGAGGATGTCTGAGCTGTTTTATGCGGACCTATTTGGGATAGCCGACAGCGCAACGCGCAGAGAAGAGAGCGTCAGCGAGTCGCCGATGTCCAGTCACCCCTCGAGCGAAATCAGGCCGGCCGTGGGGGGATCTAAAGGGAAGACTCGAAAGCGATAGCACCGCTCTTGCCTGCTTCCTGCCAGAGGCAGCTCAAGCTGGAAGCGTGTCCGCAAGGAGTCTCGACGGTTGTGTAGGGATCGGCCGGATCCTGCCACCTCACCCTCCCACCTTCGCATGGCTCCTCCTCCCGCTTCCTGGGCTTCGCGTCGCACGTTGGAGAGACAAGCTAAAAGAGAGAGCCAACTCACCTCGACTGGCTAGTGTTTAAGTATTCTCTCCTCGTCAGTACAGAAACGTGAGTCCGTGTAGAGCAAGGGGGGAACAAGTGTGAAGGGATCAAGAGGATTTGGAAGCCAAGCGATGCTGTTGAAGAGAGGGACGAAGGGGAGAGAGCGTTGCGCGGGGATGGTGGGTGGTATGGTGAGCAGATGACAAGGAGTGTAAAGGGTCCCCCCTCTCTCTCCATGGATTCACCTGATGACGGAGTACGTAGAGTGGGGCCTTTGGGTGATGATCTGAATTCCCCAATCAGGAAATGGGGATGACCCTTGACAGGGACTCAGGGGCCCCCCAAGTCGTATCCTTCCCCCTCCTCCCCACCCATTCCCCCTCCTTCATTAGCCGATCCCAAACCCGCGTCCTTATTCGTTGGATGATCCCTGCCTTTCATTCACACACCACTGGGTTGCCGACGGGGTGGGAACAGCAACACGTCATACTGTCAATCCGTCCGGGCTGTGTGCAGAGACGTCCTTTTGTTCCGCATGTCAGTCTCACAGCACAGATAGCCTCATGTGCAGAGTGTCACGGACAGTCGGGTGTGGGAACATGGCAGGGATCATCCTCCTCTCTCGCTTATTCGCCCTTGACAAAGCCAATTAGTCGCCCCTGTCAAGTCGGCTTCTCCGGCTCATTTTCGACCGTGTTTTCTGCAAGCCTCATTACCGATTAAGGCATAAACACATGCCGGCGGCATCCTACGTGGTCCCTCCACGAGTGCGAGATCTTCCATCATGCGCCTGGAGAACCCGCCTCGACGGGCATCCCCCTCCACGATCAACGACGATCATGTGCAGCATTTACGGCACATGGTAGATGGCATCCGGTTGCGGGAGCGGTTAGGGTCAGTCGAAGCCCTGGTCATGGTCGTGCGGGGGCTTGTGGCTGCAGTAATATCGCGGTTCGCCGCAGCACATCCCGTTGCCCGCTTGACACGACCCACTGGACAGTCCAGAGGGCCCCATTGGTGACACAAGGAGTAGGGCGGTTCGCAACCTGGCGCAGATGCCAGTGTCACACAATATTCTCGTCACCAGCTGCCTATAAACGGTATGGAGCTCCATATTCTAGCATGGTCACTGGATAGACCACTGGGTCCAGAGTCATCCGATTTTAAAGCGTTTGCGTTTTGTTCTAAGGTGATGCCCTCAGGCGTCGCGCTGTCCTTCTCCGGATGACTGGATACAACGGACTCGACCGAATCTGATGTTGGCCGAGTCCACTTCTTGCCAAGAGACTCCTCGATCTCGAACATGATTCCTTCTTCCGACCGTTTCCATCCAAAATCCACAACCAAGCCAATCCCATTCCAACTCAGATCAACGTGCTTCGAAGGTAAGGCCCGATTCCGCCAGTCACTTGTTGCAGGTGATAGCGACAGGTACGGCGCGACAACCTGGTCGAGAACACTTGCACTTTGGGGGGTCGTTTCCGACTTTGAGCTTGGACTCCCCGCAGCAACATTTTCACCCGCCTTGCGCGTGGTTGCTGATGCCTGCGAGGCAGGTGTAATCATCTCGAAAGCGAAAAGTCGTCGGGTCAGGCCTTTGAAACCCTTTTCGGTGTCGGTCAAGGCGGAGGCCAGAGCCTTATCCATTTCCCGATATCCCACCAGGCTCGGCTGAGACAGTCTCCCACCGTTCAGGTTGAACCATGAACGGTCAGGTATCGGAGCGTTGAGGGGGAGGGCATTGTATGATGTGCTGTTCAGCGATAGATCGCTTGACAAGGATGTGACGCTGTGGTCCAGGAAGGGGGAGTGCCGGGAGGTCGACAAGAAGAGAATCGCCAGCTGCGAGGCGGGGCAGTCAGCTTTCGTGTACTCCAGAAGCCCTGCCTAGGTATGCGCAAGTGTGTGTTTAGGCAACGCGCTCACCTGACATAAGCAATATCCACAAGGCTTGATAACGAGGAAGGCAGCTGCCAGGAATATCGTTAGGAAGACGGGCGAGGCGGCCTGTCATCGAAAGTACATATCAGTATTTATCATTTCGGCATGAGGCTGCACCACTTTTTTCGTAGATCCGACTGGTGTTGAGGCATGCCTGGCACAATCACACGCTTAAGGAGCGGGACTCACCGGGACAGGCAAAAGTATGAAATAGATTACAACATGCTTGATACACAGCATGGCGCCCGTCGAAGTAGACCCCCACGAGTCTTACTGACGCCGGTGAGGTGGCCTGGCCGGAAAGTAGGTGGTAAATGTAGCAAGCGAACAACCTATCGACAGGGGACACAGCGACAAGGGTCAGAGTGAACAATGCGAAGTCTGTTGTTACGACATGATTTACTCACGTGATCCGCTTGTGGTACGGAGTATATATCGCGACGCGTGCTGAGCCAAGTCTGTCGGTGACGGCTTCTGAAGATGAACAGAGCCTGTGGGACACCCAGCATGGCTGACAGAGCAATCATGCAGTCGAGGAAAGCGGAACAACAAGAGAATCTTTACAGGTAGGTATATATATGAAGGGAAAACAACAAAACATAACAACGGGCCTGTGTTGCAGTGGTAGCATTCTAGACTTCGAGGTCGAGAATTGGACTGGAGTTCATCTAGCGGTCGCGGGTTCAAATCCCGTCGGGCCTTCATTTTTGCTTTTTGTCGATGCTGAGCTTCTAGAGGTTGCCGAGTCAGGCTGGTGAAAAGCCTTGCATGCGTGATGCACGGGCCAATATGCATTGCTTCTCACTGATAATCGCAGCGCGAATTAGGCCGCACACGGCCTGAATGGCATGAGAACAAGAGCCATGATGTGGCATTCATTTAGCCACGCGACCGGGAGTCGTGCGCGCCGGTCGTGCCATACCTGTGGTTGCGGGCATAACATCGTTGTGACCATCAGTTTGTATTACTATCAACCATACAACTGGCAGCAGCTTGACTTTGCACGTAGAGTCCTCGTCTGAAGACTCGGAACAGTCATAAAAGTGCCGCGGCCAGTCACACGCAAGATGCCTTCGGGAGAATCATACCTGGTGGTAGGAGGCTGCGGATTCTTGGGTCGACACATCGTCGAGCAACTGCTTGCGCGTGGGGAAAACGAGGTCGCGGTCTTTGACATTGTGCAGAGGCACTTTGACAAGTGAGTATTGCGCCAGGTATACTGTGTGGTGGCTGGTCTATATGGGTTTGTGTACTCCGGGCTGACCATTGCCCATGTGTAGCAACGTCACCTTCTTCATTGGTGATTTATCCAAGGCGGAGGATGTCGAGAATGCGCTGCGAAAGGTGATTAGCGTCCGAGGGTAGGACGTCAGCTTGCCACTGACTGTCCCTGCGCAGTCAAAGGCCACCGTCGTGATTCACACCGCATCTCCAGCTCATGGAATGGGTCGAGCGGTGTACGAAAAGGTCAATGTGGACGGTACCCAGACACTGCTCGACGCTTGTCACGACTCGGAGACTGTTCGAAAGCTCGTGTACACCGCTTCGGGAGGTGTCATCTACTCCGGTGTGGAGGACACCTGTAACGCGGATGAGCGTATTGCGTACCCGGCGACCCCGCTCGACGCCTACAACGAGACCAAGGTAGCAGCGGAGAAGATGGTGTTGGCCGCTAACGGCGAGGGAAAGCTGTTGACGTGCTCGATCAGGCCGGCCGGTATCTTTGGCCCAGGCGATCGCCAGATGATCAACGGGTTCTACGGAGTGGTCAAGAACGGTCAAACCAAGTGGCAGGTCGGCGACAACTCAAACCTGAGCGACTTTACCTATGTCGGCAATGTCGCCCACGCCCATCTTCTCGCTGCGGACAAGCTCGGTTCCGTCTACCCATACGCCGCTCTGCGTATCCCCATCTCATCCATCGACATCTCCCTGGGCCAGCACCGTATCCCCACGTCCCACGCCCGACCCATTGGACCCAATACCAACCCTACCGAGGACGACCTGGCGGCTGCCAAGCGGTTCGAGTCTGACGAGGTGGAGCCTTCGGACCTCCGTCCCGTGCTGAGGACGAAGATGGATCAGTTCGCGGACCAGATCAACCAAGAGGACGAAGATCCCGAAGGCGGGATGCCCATCGCCGGTCAGGCATTCTTCATCACCAACGGCGAGCCCATCTACTTCTGGGACTTTGCCAGGACCGTCTGGAGGCAGCTCGGCCACATCCCCCCTTACACGATCGTCCTGAGCACCGCCATCGGATTACTCTTGGCCACCTTGGCCGAGATGGTCTCCAAGCTGACCGGGAAGGAGCCAGGATTCACCAGGTTCAGGGTCAGCCAAGCCACCCAGCAACGGTTCTACGATATTGAAAAGGCTCGAAGGCTGTTGGGGTACGAGCCCATCGTCGGTCTCGACGATGGTATGCAGAGATGGACGAGCTGGTACAGGGGAGAGCTGGACAAGCAACGTTTAGCCGTTGAATCGGAAAAGACCAAGTAGAGTAGGGCCGGGTGAGACGTCGCAGATCAGCACAGTAGTATCTCTTATGTATGCAGCGAGCCGGTGAGAGAGTATGTACACCCGCTTGATGGTATACGTGTGGATACTCGGTAGTAACCTTGCCTGATGGAAGTCACGCCGCAGATCAACCCTCCACGCGCGCCTACGGGAGCTGCCTTCTCAGCGGGGCTCCTAAACAATGTGCTCGCAACAATGCAGTCTCGTCGAAATATCCGGTCCACAAAAACGTCTTTCCAACAATCCCCCGTTGGTCTGCTTTCTGCCTCTGTCACGTATAACGACTAGACGAATCCGATTTCTACCATGGACCCCAACGCCGAGGACCGACCGCCCAGTATCGAGATCAGCCGGGTCGACGTCGAGGTTGTTCATGACAGCTCGAAGACAGATCTCCCGGCTGGTAACGGCTCGGAGGGGCGTGAGGCTTCGGCTGAGACGCGGCCCAAGACAGACTTTGGACTCAAGGTACGCTCACGGGGCCTCTATACGAATGGAACAGGTCATGGCGGTGACTGACTGTGTTTCATCAGGACCGGCCTATAGAACCCCTCGCGTTCCAGGCTCCTATGGCCAGCTCGATCTTCCGCACCGCTCTGGGTGGACAACCCGCCGCGTCAGACCCGACAACAGCGTCGTCACCAGCTGTCCGACCTGAGCGTGAGTCGTACAGCGCACCGGTGACTGGATCTAAGAGGCCTCCCGCAGCCATCAGCGAAGATCCGGAGCGGGTTCAGAAATGGCAGGAAGAGGAATTCCAAAGGCGCTTGCGAGGAGAGTACGAGCAGGCCCAACGGCGTGTTGGCGATGTGGTGAGTCGCTCCGACGCTGAGGCTTTGCTCACACAGCTGACTTGGCTCACAGGTATCGGACAACATGGATCGACCACTTCGCTTGACGTCTATCCGCCTAGCACCCCCGCCCAAGAGCACTCGCCCGTCGTTCCTGAGCTCCCTCCTGTCACCGTTCGTCTCCTCGCCCTCCCCTTCCCGACCTGCGTTCTTGCATCCAGCACCGCCCCAGCCACAGAACCTGCATGAGATCCTTCTGACCACTAAGGCGCTTGTCGCGCATTTGGACCAGTTCGGCATCTACGACATGGAGCATTGCGGAATTAGGTTTGAGCCCAAGCGGGGCGGGGATCCAGACGAGGTGGAGATGGTGCTGCGGTTGAGGGAGAAGGGTCGGTTGTTCCTCAAGGCTGGTACGGAAGTGGGCGGCGGCGAAGGTGGCGGAGTGAGTCGGCCACATGATCTCCTTCGTCTCGTTTTGGCATGACTGACACATCACAGAATGTCACGGGGCGTATACGAAACATCTTTGGCGGTGCCGAGACGCTCGAAGCCAATGCTTCGATTGGTACCAAGACCAAGTCGGCCTACCAGCTATCTCTGACCACGCCTCTGTTTGCATCCCCGTTACTGTCGTTCGGCTTGTCTGCGTTCTCCCTAGACAGGGATAATTCTGCGTTCGCCTCGCATCGAGAGAGGGCTCAAGGAGGCCGAGCGAAACTGAGCGTGAGTGATATCGGCCTTGTCAGCATCGCCCTCTCCTAATCACCAACGTTCAGGCGATCACACCTTGGGGAACCCATGACCTGCAATACGAGCTTGTCAACCGAGCAATCGAACATCTTCAGCCGAATGCTTCGGTCTCGTAAGTTCCTGCGGGTCGCCATGGTGCAAGACTTATCCCCCACTCTAGCATCCGTGAATTGGCGGTACCGTCAACCAAGTCTTCCATCTCTCACACGTGGACATCAGACACGCGTGATGACTTGTGGGCAGGCACAGCGGGACGTCTGCTGAAGATGACCTATGAGTACGCTGGTCTGCCTGGATCTTCGGAGCGAGCACACTTCATCAAGTCGACCACGCAATCTCAGCTGTCTAGAGCGTTGTACCCTGGATCCAGCATTGTGAGTCACTTCATTCGCGAGGGATCACCGCTAAGGACGTCGAATACAGCACTACTCGATCTCATCTTTGACCACCTGCCTGTTCCCCCTCTTCGCTCAATCGCCGGGCTCCGCAACCTACCTGCCTGATCGAACCTATCTTGGTGGACCCAACTCTGTCCGAGGATGGAAGGTCGGCGGGTTAGGCCAGAAGGATGGACCGGACTCCCTCGGTGGCGATATGAGCTGGGCAATGGGCTTGAGTGTGTTCGCTCCTATTCCCAAGAAGAAGCATTGGCCGCTGCAGCTGCATGCCTTCATCAACGGCGGCAAGGTCGTGGCATATGACCAGAGTGAGCGAGCCGCGTATGTGACCTGTAAGACGCTGTCTGACCACATACTGTACAGCTTGCGGGTTCGTCGACAACATGACCAAGCTCTACCGATCGCCAAATCTCTCCGTTGGAGTGGGACTCATGTACAGGCTCGAGCCCATCCGGATAGAAGTCAACTTTTCCATGCCTTTGGTGGGGCGGAAGGGGGAACGAACGGCGAGGGGGCTAGGAGTGGGAGTGGGTATCGAATTCCTATAGACGTAGGGCAAGCGTGCATGCATGCGTGTAGGTCACCCATGTCCAGGATGGCCCAAACTCCATACCGGTCGTGGCGCAGGCTGCCAGCCATCAGATGTGCATTGTGACGATACGCGCGTCATCGGCGCGAGCGAGAAGCACATATGACTGTGAAGACAAATCGCATGTGTATGACCGATGCACGTTTCAGATCCGTCATCTTATCTCTTGGGCACAAGCATGTATGGTGACCTCGTGATGTATCAGATAAACACCGATACACGTTTCTCCACAGTCCTCTCGCCTAGACGAAGAGGTATTGTTCTGTCATATCCGATGGTTTTCGACACGCTTATGTACCAGACCTTCCTGCACCTGGAACCGCGCCCTGATCCCCATGTATTTTGCTGAATGAATGCGACGAGCTCCGCTGACCGCCGTCATATTGGTTGATCACTCGGTGAAGCAATTTTTCGCCTGACAAACGACCGGGCCAGCGGCGCTGAGGCTATGTTATGACCGTGATCTTGCGGCTCAGCACAACATGGCGCGATGGGTCATTCGTGATAAGAGGGCTGCACCGCGCCATCTGTTAAGTCAGCCGCACTGGAGTGCGTCCAGCCGAGTCCGTCAGTAGCTGCAGGATCCGGTGTTCCTTCTTTCTAGATGATAGCGAGCACAGTGTCTGTTTGCTTCGCCTGGAGCCAGCACGG